CATTGAGTAACAGCTGAGACTAGCAAGCCTCATTATCCAGCATTCCAAGTCGTCTAGCAACATGCTGGCCTCTGCTGCAGAGAGAGAACAGAGGATCCCCCAACAGAATGAATGGAATCTGATTTCAATTACATTCAGTACAGTCACCCTCTTCAGGCAGAGAGGCCAGAACACCTGGTGCAGCTTGGGCCACTGTGGCCACAGGGGCAGCACGTTACCCAGGTCCTAGAGGCAAATGGAAATGCAGCTTCTCTTCCTCAAGCAGATGCCATATAGGTATAGAAGAAGAGGACGTGAAAATACCGGCCAAGTTCTCATTAGCACTACACAGAGAAGGGGAATTATTTCATGTTGGTGGATTCTCCCCACAGTCTCTGCACATATTGATCTCGATTGCAAGGAGTTTGCTTAGGTCCACGAGTCATCACCCCACTGACTTCTGAGTCATGGGTGGGAGAGTTGAGGTGACAAAGCGTACCTCACTGATTACACCAACACCAATTGCTTTGTGTGTCTCTCCAACTTTTAGAAAAGCCCATGGATTTATCTGTATAAAATTCATTTGGATTCTTTTCTTCTTTATCAATAGCATGAGTAGGGCATGACAAATGGGACAGCTGCTCCAGAGAACCGTGTAGAGTCACAGCACTATTCCACAGAACTTTCTGAGATAATGGGAATGTTCTATATATGTGCTGTCCAGTGTAGCAGCCACTAGCCACATGTGGCTTTTGAACACTTGAAATGTGGCTAGTGAGATTAAGGAATTATATTTTTAATTTTATTTAATTTTAATTAAATTTAAGTAGCCACATGTGGCTAATGGCTACTGTGTTGGACAGTGCAAATCTAGAAGGAGCTCAGAGAGGCAGGTACTGAGATACAGTAGAAATGAGTTAGTCAAAAAGAGAGCCAATGTGGCACAGGGAACACTGGATTAGGAATAAGAGCCCTGGTTCTAGTCTCAGCTCTGCCGCTAGGTGACCTCCCTCTCTCTGGCCTCAGCCTCCCATTCTTTGACTTGAAAGATAAGATTAATGTTAGAAGTCCCAAACTAGTGGCTAAGGACTGAATTCAACTTTGGAATACAGATGAGTTTCAGGAAAACTTTTAAAAATTATGGGAATGCTTTCTCGGTGTGTGTGTATGTGTGCGTGCGTGTGCTTGGTAGGGGCAGGAAGGCAGTAGGGCATTCACTCCAGTTCACTAGAGTTCCCACCATTCTCCTGTACACACATGCGCGCACACACACACACCACTACTGTATTACCTGTGTAGACTCTGAGGTATCTTGAATCTGTGACCCCCTGAATGAGATGATCTCTAAAGACCCTTCCTATTTTGTCATGCTGTGAATCTTTAGGTCACTATAGTGCCCCAAACCTGTTTCTACTCTGGGCACGGAACTAGAGTATTCTCATAGCTTCCTGCCTCTTCCCTTCTGTTTTTTTTTTTTTTTTTGTGAGGAAGATCAGCCCTGAGCTAACATCCGTGCTAATCCTCCTCTTTTTGCTGAGGAAGACCGGCTCTGAGCTAACATCTATTGCCAATCCTACTCCTTTTTTTCCCCAAAGCCCCAGTAGATAGTTGTATGTCATAGTTGCACATCCTTCTAGTTGCTGTATGTGGGACGCCGCCTCAGCATGGCCGGAGAAGTGGTGCGTCGGTGCGCGCCCGGGATCCGAACCCGGGCTGCCAGTAGCAGAGCATGCGCACTTAACCGCTAAGCCACGGGGCCGGCCCTTCCCTTCTGGTTTTTATGCTAGTTACTGAAGTTTGGAGTCAAGGGTGAGAATGGAAGGAACACCAGCCCTACTCCTCAACTCTGCTATTAGGCTAGAAGTAGGGTTCACGGCTTCAGACTCCTTGAGGAGGCAGCATGGTATAGTAGAAAGAACATGGGCTTTGTAGTCAGCAAACCAGGTTCAGGTTATTGGGTTATCTTTCTTGATAGCTGTGTTACCTCAGTTTACTCACTTGAAAAACAGGGATAGGAAATATTCCTAACCTCCTAAGGCCTTGTGGAATTAAATGATGTAATGTGTTCATGAAGTGAAGCACATAGAAGGCCCTGAAAAAATAGTTACTCATATTTCTCTTAGTTACCTCAGGCATAGGACTAATTACATCTCTGTCCTCTCCCAGGATGGAAGGGGTGCTACCTGGTCTGGCAACTCCTGGGCTCAAGGCCAGAAAGTGCCAGTGAGGAGGAAGAGGGAGTCTACCTCTAGAAACTGTACCAGGAGAGCAGATCCGATAGGCCAGTCTGTAGAGCTGCCTACAAGAACCCATGTCAGCAGTGGGTTCACCAGATGATGAGATATTGTGGGGGCCAGGCCTCTAGCTCTGGGAGAAGATGAGCCTAGCCCAGCCCATACCTTCCAGACTGTGCTCTTGGTGGGAGGTGGGAAGTGGGAGTTGACAGTGGATATGCATATCTCCTTATTACTGACTGTGCCCAAGCCCTGCAGAAATGATTGTTGGACAAGGTCATCTTGCACTCTGGGTTGATTTACCAAGCTCTCCTGTTATGTACCCTGAGTTCTTCTCTATACTCCTTTTGCACCACCAACCCCACCATTTTCTCCTCCTCTACCCTAGTTGTTAATCCAAATGTGTGATCTATTCTTGCATTTATTTACTGAGTTGCACTATGATTGGAGTTTGCATTGTAGGACTTATTTTTTTAATTAGAGTTGAGAGTCAGTTCCAGATAAATATATTTTTGTGCAGGAGCCAAAAACAGATCAGCAGCAAGTTTTGTTGTATTTATCCATTTAAGTTGAGCAATCCACTTCTCTCTTTGTTTTATACCTTTTTTATTTATTATTATTACTTTAAAGGGATTAGAGATCAAGCAGTTTATGGTCTGCCTCAGTGCAACTGTCTATGCTAGGCCTCAGAGTTATGACCTTTTCAATTATTTATATTTCTGCCAATATAAATGCTAGGGAAAATAGCACAAAGTAAACATCAGGATGCCCAAGGACCTCTAAATTGTGTGTGTGCGAGCATGGGGGAGGATGGTTCTTAAGGTTTGAGCTTTATATTATTGTTGTTGTTTTAAATAATGTTATTTCTATCATCCTTTCTAATGACTGCCTCCTAGCATAGTTCCCATTTTACAGACTGATTATAGAAGCAGGGACATTCTGTTATTTATTTGATACTATTGAGAATTTTAGCCCTTCAACTTCCTCTTCTGCCCTTTGCTAAAGAAGAAAATCAATATGTGTGTTACAGTGCATGTTCAACTATGGGTGTAATGTCTGACAATATCTGATGCTGTTATAGTGTTCAATGGGAAATGCTGCAACACTAGAAAATTCCCATTCGTTGAGCCCAAAGTGGGATGATAGAATTTGTAGTCTGAGGATAGGAAGGGACAGTCGAGGCCATTCTTTTTTTTTTAACTTATTCTCATCTGTTGCTTGAATTCTTAAGCATTGTGCGTCTAGTCTCTGCTTGATCATCTCCAATGACATGAGTACCTGAGTGCCTGGCATCCTTTCAATCTTCAGAGAGCTTTAAGTATCAAAATGTGTGTGTGTGTGTGTGTGTGGAGAGAGAGAAAGAGAGGACTAAAATCCAAGTCATTATGCTTTCTGGTACCCCTAGGGACCCAAAGAACAAGTCTAGTCCTTCTTCCAAGGTCTGCCTTTCTAGTCTCTTTCCCTAGCACTCTGCTACACATGCTAGATGTAGACACAAGTACATCACTCCCTTGATTTAAAACATTCTGTATTTTCCTATCACCCATAAGATAAAGCCAAAATTTCTTATTAAGATATACATGCCTCTTTAAAATCATGCCCGATCTTTGTTTTCAACCTCATAAATAGCCACTCTCCCCACACATGTGATACACACTCCAGCCACATCAGTCTCTGTTTTCCCCAAACACCCCTCAGTGCTTTTGTTTATGCTCTTTCTACTCTTCTCCGCCTGGTGAAATTCTCACCATTCTTCAATGTCCAGGTCACATGCCACCATGCAGAGAGATTATTGTCTTCCTCTTTTTTTTTAAACTTTTATTTTTATTTTATTTTTTCCCCCGAAGCCCCAGTAGATAGTTGTATGTCATAGTCGCACCTCCTTCCAGCCGCTGTATGTGGGACGCGGCCCCAGCATGGCCGAAGAAGCGGTGTGTCGCACGCGCCCGGGATCCAAACCCCGGCCACCAGCAGCGGAGTGCGCACACTTAACCGCCAAGCCACGGGGCCAGCCCCTATTGTCTTCCTCTTTTGTTAATACTTTTGTTATAACATTTACTGGTTTGGATTGGATTGGTGGTTACCAGAGGGGATGGGGGGAGGGGGGAGGGCGAAAGGGATAATTTGGCACATGTGAGTGGTGATGGGTTGTTATTAGTATTTTGGTGGTGAACATGATGTAATCTATGCAGAAATAGAAGTATAATGATGTACACCTGAAATTTATACAATGTTATAAACCAATGTTACTGCAATAAATAAAAAAATTAAAAGAATAAAAAACAAAACAAAACAAAAAAACATTTGCTGGTTTGACATTTTCTAGAATTGCTTGTGGGCATTTATTTCTCCTCTACCAAACTAGGTTAGTGCCTGTTTCCTTTTTGTCACCCAGAAACGAAGGCCTAGCAATGGATGTCTGTTGAATGAACAAATGAGTCATGAATATATTAGTAAATGATTTAATTGAGCGTCTGAGGTATGAATACTGAAGGCTGCATTTACGCAATGCAGAGCCCAATCCAAGGATATACTATGTCTGTTTGGCAAGGGGATTGGAGAGAAAGCATGATATGAAAGTTTGAGTTTAGTAGGGATTTGGAATGATGAATTATTCTTTCAACCAGTGTTTAAACTGAGCACGTCTCCTTAAGGGGTTTAGAATCTGTGAACAGGGAGAAGGAACATCCTTATTTTTTTAGTTCAGGCAGCTTTTCTAACAGGGTAGCTGTGCTGTGTGTTTTTGACCACTGATAAGAAATCAAAGTTTCCTTTCCTTTTCAATAGCCCGGAAGCTGAAGAAACTTGGTAATCTGAAACTACAGGAGGAAGGGGAGGCTTCCAGAGCCACCAGCCCCACTGAGGAGCCAACCCAGAAGCTGACGGTGTCACACATTGAAGGCTATGAGTGTCAGCCCATCTTTCTAAACGTCCTGGAAGCCATCGAGCCTGGTGTGGTGTGTGCTGGACATGACAACAACCAGCCCGACTCCTTTGCAGCCTTGCTCTCTAGTCTCAATGAATTGGGCGAAAGACAGCTTGTACATGTGGTCAAGTGGGCCAAGGCCTTGCCTGGTAAGGAAAAGGAAAGTGGGGGCATGGGATAGGGGAGATCATATTTAGTGAATGCCCCTATGGGTCAGGTACCCTGTCCAGTCCTTTCCTGCTCGTTAACTCATGCAATCCTCAACATAACCCTATGGGGGGAGAGATTGGTATAATCCCCACTTTAAAAATAGGGAAACTCAGAAACCAAGGAGAAGAGTAGCATTATAGACTGTCCCATGTGCCTCATATTGGCACACAGCAATCATGTTTCCATGTGCAATCCACAGACATAGTGAGCAAATTTCCCCATAATCACAGATCACATAGACATACCCTTATATGCCTTAAGATGCTCCTCTACATGTGTACACACATGCGTACCCCAAAGATAATCTTGAGCCTGACTGATATTCTGTCTTCAGTATTCCCTTTAGGAGCCATACCATGAGAACTCTCATAATATGGTGTCATAGAAAGAACAAGGGGTTGGGAGTCAGAACACTTAGGTTCTAGTCTTAGCTCTGCTGATAACTCATTGTGTGATCCCTTCCCTTTCAGGGTCTCAGTGTCTACAGCTGTGTAATGTGTGAAGAGTGGTTTGGACTAAATTGATAGTTTTCAAATTCTGCTTCAAGGAACTCGTAGTGCTCTTTAATCTACTTTAGGAATCATAGTGGGAGGAAATATTAGGTGATAGTGAAAGAAATACAAAGTGTTTTTCTAACTTCTGCTTGTATACCTCTAGTGATGGGGAACTCACTTCCTCCATAGGCCATCTGTTGTTCGAACAGGTCTGATCATTAAAATGTTAGAGCTTAAAGAAGCCTCAGAGATCCTCTACCCAAGGATTCACAAAGTTTCCTTTAGCAGCCAAACTCTTTGTTTCACAAAAACATCCTACACAGATACCAGTGGAGCTGGTTGATTTAAAGCCAGTGCCTCTCCATCACTACCCACAGAGAAGCCTCAGGTCACTCTTGCAGAATCTTAGGACTCCAGGGAACACAGTTTGGAAACAATTGAAGCATAAGCTCTTTAAAGACTCTCCTAGTCCTAAAATTCTGTGATTCAAAGATTCTTTTGAAACATCAACCAAACCTCTTCTTATGGAGTCAAAGATTAACCTGCCTTCTAATGAGAACTGCCATTCAGATCAAAATATGTATTGAACAGAGCAGTTTCATATGTGTTACCTGACTTGATCCTCATAAGAATTCTATAAAGTAGGGATTCTTTTCCCTATTTCATAGATAAAGACACTGAAGCTCTGAGAAGTGATGTGCATGGCCTACAGTAGCACAATCAGAAAGTATCAGGGCCAGAACTTGAGCCCAGGTCCTCTCCTGATTTCAATCTCCTTCTCATCCCACTCCACCCATAGTCTGTATCGTGCCCTTGTAGTTCTGCAGCACTGGGCTTTACAGTGAGAGGCCAAAGTCTCATTCAAGGCCACTTGGGTCATAGTGTGGACTTGCTGCCTTTGAAGACATTGTATGTTGGCTGTCTAGCCCATATTTTGTCTTTCCAACTTACAAGGCCCATTCTCAGCCATCAGACCTTCCCTAACACCTTCCCAGCTTGGAAAGCTGAGGTTGACTACCCAATAAGATCGCTGGGAAGAAGGCCCAAGGATTCTGGCTGCATATGCACTGTGCCAAAACAGAGGGTTCACACGGGGAGGAAAACATACAAAAAATAAAAAGTTACTTTAATTCTTATCACTTATTTAGCTGGACGTCTTGATGTCATGTGTGTAACAGACATTCAGTTTAATCTTTCCAAGCAGTTGCCAAACACCTAAATTGACCCATTTTATAGGATACAGAACCTTTTCATATAGATGATTCCACTTAATCCTCACAGCAGTCTTGTAAAGTATAAGGACTCTTACTTCCATTTCAAATGACAAGGCTTAGAGAGGTTAACTAACTTGTTCCATTTGGTCACTTAACAAATGGAGCCAGAACTTCAACTCACATCCCCAGATTTCTAATTTGGTGGTCTAACAATAACCTAGTGCAAATCATTTTGGCTGAATTTGTATGACTGCGAGTCACTAGCTTTCCTCAGCCCGACCCCCAGGATGGGAAGCCCTCTTCTTACATTAACAAGTCTGTAAGTCAACATCAGTTCACCATCTAGCTTGTCCAAGGAAATGGTCTCTGACCCTGAGTCATTTAAAAGAATAGCTTCAAAAGGAAGCCAGTTACAACGTTCATAAGAACTGTTCTTCATATTATCAATAATAACCTACTAGTTCAGGTTGTTTGCTCATTCAACAGATTGAGTTCTGGTCCTGTGTGAGGCACTGTACTACGCACCTACTCAGATAAATTTTGTTTTACCTTAAAACAAATTAAGTGTTTAAAACAAAATTAAATTTTGTTTTGTTCACCTGTGATGGTGATGATATATGTAAATTGCCTAGTATAGTACCTGGTACATTAATAGATGATAACTATTAATTCAGGGTGGGTGAGTAGATTGTGTATACACAGTATATTTATAATCACATGTACCTGGTTTGAAATCTTAGCTATATACTAGTTATGTGACCTTGAGCAAATCACGTCTACATGTGCTTCTATTGCCTCATTTGTAGAGATTGTAGAACAATCTCTATATTGCAAATTATCAACATAGAGATCATGTATAAAGAGCACCTAGTGCAGCAGCTGAAACGTAGTAGATACTCTGTAAATGATGGGTGATTATTATGAAGCTTGAGTGCTAAGCCACTGCTTTCACTAAAATCAATTTAAGCTGCCATCAGGCTTGCCTAGAAGCTCATGCATGGGTCCCAAGGATGAATCATCTTCTTTGAAGACCTTGGCTGTTGGGTGCACTAGAGCAGCAAAGATTTTCTAATTGGCCTTTCTTTGGGCATGTTCTCCCAGACTACACATGATACGTTTCCACTGCATATTGCTAAGAAATGATGTTGATTGGATTCTAGTGAGAACACAGAGTCCCAAAGAAACTGCCTCTGCTCACTAAACTGTTTGGTGTATTTCAAAACCTGAGAACGACTCTTCTTTGTTTCTCCAGAACAGCTTAATACAGTGCCAAATAGGTGTTAAGTGAATGCGTGTTGAAGGAAACCTGTAGGCTGGAGCTACAGTTTCCTCAAGTCACTCCTTGATAGCCATGCTATCTGAGCAGCCTGCTTCAAAAGCTGGGCATTAGAGAACAGAGTTAGGTATTGTAATCAGATTAGACCTATAGGAAAATAGCCTGCTATGTTGCTGATGTGTACACAGTAATTAGGCTTGAGTGCTAAGCAGCTCTCACTAAGGACTGTTAATTAGTATTACAGCCGAACTAAGCTTTCCATTTTTTCTCCTCTTTGTTAGTTCTCTGAAATCTCAAGGAGAGAAAAAAGCATCAGTATTGACAGCTTCCTTGGTACTTGTACAGTTTAATCTTCATCCCCCGCTATGCACTATCACATTCACACACCCACTAGTCAAGGCTTTTCTTGCTTCCTATTGCCTCCCACCCCAGAGGTTCGGGGTTCAAACTCCTGGGCCCCCTCCCCAAGAAATCCTTGGATCTTCCATGTCTTGCCCCTGCTTTTTGTCTCTTACCGCAAAGAGTTAGTCCCAGGCATTCTGTGCTACAGAAGGGCTTCAGGCAAGAAATACTCTGAGGTCTGAGGCTCTGGCTAGTCTGTCAACATATCACCACAGTGAAGATGGGAGGCACAGGCCTGGGAGCTAAGATTGTATCCAAGGGTGGTGATCTGAGGGACTCTAGAATCCCTGGTGTCTAGTAGGCTTGAGACCTAAACGAAAAGGAAATGGGGTATGTATGTGGGTGGGCAAGGACCAACCAAGCAGAACAGTGTGTCTAGATATTATAGACTTCAGACCTGAGCCTATGGCTAAGAAAAGCTCATGACCATGGTAGTTCTTGAGCTATGTCCTTCAGCAGTAGAGTGGAAAAAGCACTGAAGAAGATAATTAGAACACCTGGGTTCTAGTCCCAGTTCAACCACATATAGAGTGTATGACCTTAGGGAAGTCAGTTAACTTCTCTGGCCCTCAGGTTCTTTGTTGATGAAATAATTGTCACATTGCCTCCCATTAGGGTTATTGTGAGGGTTAAATGGGGTCATCAACAGGAAAGTTAGAAGGATTATGTAAATCCATGGAAGAATTCTTAATGAAGTATATAGCAAGATGAAATTTCAGACAATTCTCTATCTGTTGGGGAGAAGAGAAACGGGGTGCTGGTAGGGGATGAGCTCTGAGGTGATACTTTAAGCATCTAACTGTTTGGAAACCTCCAGGAAAACATAGCCACATCTGTTCTATCTATGTGGTATTGTGGAGGTAACATCTGGGAGCCTCTGTACTCTGAGTTTAAGGGGGGTAATTTGGAGATCATCTAATTCCCATTTTTTTTTTTTCCAGGTGTGAGTAACACACTAAATTTTATTTATTTATTTATTTATTTATTTATTTATTTTTTAATTTTTTGTTTATTGCAGTAACATTGGTTTATAACATTGTAAAAATTTCAGGTGTACATCATTGTACTTCTATTTCTGCATGGATTACATCATGTTCACCACCCAAATACTAATTACAACCCATCACCACACACATGTACCTAATTATCCCTTTCACCCTCCTCCCTCCCCCCTTCCCCTCTGGTAACCACCAATCCAATCTCTGTCCCTATGTGTTTGTTTATTGTTGTTATTATCTACTACTTAATGAAGGAAATCATGCGGTATTTGACCTTCTCCCTCTGACTTATTTCACTTTGCATTATACCCTCAATGTCCATCCATGATGTCACAAATGGCTGGATTTCTTCACAATAGCCAAGACTTGGAAGCAACCTAAGTGCCCATCATGGGGCGAATGGATAAAGAAGCTGTGGTATATATACACAATGGAATACTACTCTGCCATAATTCCCATTTTATAAGATGAAAAAAAATCGAGTCCTTAGTCCATTTAATTAATATTTTTCAAATGCCTAGTCTATGTACTAGGGAGGAAAAGATGAATAAGAAAGGATGGTCCCTGTCTTCAAGAAGCTCCAAGTCTTGGAGACAGATGTGTACATAGATAAATTCCAGTACTGTGTAATGAGTGCTATAACTGCATGGAGTTACACAAGGTACAGTAAGAAGGTAAAACAAGAATCATTAAGTCTTCTGCTTGAATGAGTTGGAAAAGGCTTCACAGAGGAGGTAGCTTTCAGTGAAGATTTGAAATATGAGTAGGTGTTTATCAGATGGGAAGCCTGGGGAGGGAATAATGCATTCTAGGCAAGGGTAACTGCCCGTGCAGAGATAGCAGACATATAGAGGCATGAGAAAGCATGACATGTTCAGCAAAATGTAAGTTCTTCAGAATAGCCAGGACCTAAATTATGAGAAGGCACATGGCAAGAAATTAGTCGAAGGAGGCAGGTCATAAAGGGCCAGTTTGTGTATAATAATGGCAGTAGGGCAGGAATGGCAGTAGAGTAGGAAACTAATGGGGCCAGGGTACTTGTTGAATAGAAAATAATGGAGAGGAAATGGGAGGCAGAAAAAGGGTCAGAAAAGAGAGAGAGCCTGAAGGGGTTATGGAGAAAGCAGTGGCTGACAGAGGCATTCTGCCATATGCTGATATGTAATAATATCCCTCTCCCAGGGTTGTTAGAAGGGTCAAATAAGATTATAGCTAGAAAAGAGCTTTGTAAAGTTAAGAGTGCTGTTCATCTGGGAGAAATGATTATTACACCGCATCTTCAGAAAGGCATAGTGATCAAGAGCATGGGCTTTGGAGTCAGAGCATTGTTTGGCTTTGGAACTTAATCTGCCAATTACTAGCCTTATGATCTTGGACAAGTTCTTTAACCCTTTTAACTCACTTTTACTGATTCACGAATGGGAATACTAATAGTACCTACTTTAGTGGATTGTTGTGAGAATTAAATGAGTCAGTATAAGTAAAACACTTAGAAAAGAGTTCATTCATTGTAAGCAGTCAGTAAGTGTTGGATTATTATTCTCTTCCAACTGACAATGCCCTTTTTGCCTCCGTCACCATCTCATTTGAGCAGCTCAATGAAGTATTGAGGGAGGGCAAGGAATATTATCCCCACCATATAGTTTGTTCTTCCCCTGCTCTCCTAGCATTGATCATTCCTGGGGCTCCTCAGGGGCTGCCAGAGTGCCAGAGATTCTCAGCCCACCAGAGGCCTAGACTTCGCTCAGCCCATCAATGCCCAGTCTGACCACTGCCTCTGCCCCATCTCCAGGCTTTCGCAACTTGCACATGGACGACCAGATGGCAGTCATTCAGTACTCCTGGATGGGGCTTATGGTGTTTGCCATGGGCTGGCGGTCCTTCACCAATGTCAACTCCAGGATGCTCTACTTCGCCCCTGACCTGGTTTTCAATGAGTAAGTGCTCATGGGCCTTTCCCTTTCCCACCCAAGACCCAAGAACTCACATAAACATAGCATCCTAGCCAGACCCAGTTGGTGGTGATGATGGTAATGGGAGTAACAGGAGGTTAGCCCATTTGATGTGTATGTGAGGCAGTGGAAACCCCAGCCAGCCTGCCCAATCTGAGGTGGCTTTGCCTGGATGAAAGGCCGACTAGTGGGAGGCAAGGAGGGTTGGTGCTGAAGCCATCCCTTTCCCACCCAAGACCCAATCCTGGTATTGTGGCCATGCTTCTGACCTGCTTTGTAGCGTATCTCAGAACCTCCCCTCACTCTGTGTCAAGGTCCCTCCCCTTCATTCTGATCAACATAGGGAATGGGCAGAGAGACTCTAGTTGTGAGGGCTAAAGTTCCTTTGGTCCCTTTGCTACCACTGAGGGTTGCTGCCAATCACCATTTGTTGAGTAACTCCTTTGTGCCAGGAGTATACTAGATACTTTTTAAATCCTTTCATTGAAACCTCATGATAACCTGATTTCCGCTTTTTATAGATAATCTTTTTTTTTTAATTGATGGGGATAATTAGGCTCAACAAAATAAAATGACTCACCCAAGGTTACACAGCTAGTGCATGTTGGCAACAGAATTCAAAGTATGTCTGTGTAACTCCTAGTTCTTGTACTGCCTCGTGGTGGTAAGTGATGAGGAGGAGCAGCTCCACCACTCTCTGGCCATGTAACCATGGCCCAGCTACTTCCCTTCTTTTAAAAACAGGTTTAATTAATGCTTGCCCTGCCACCAGTTCTAGTTATCCTTCATGAATTTGGCCAAGGGCTCAGATTGTTGAATTATACTTTTCTCGGCTAAAATCTCTATTCTGTTATTTCCTACATCATTGTCTTCGGGCAAGACTGTTAACTTCCCTGACCCTCAGTTTCCTCATCTGTTAATAAAATACAACTTTCTTAAATGATTTGTTATTATGACTAAAATGGGAGCTAATGGATGTGAAATGTCTGGCCCATAATGGGCAGGAAATTAAAAAGTACCTTTCTGATACTCTCTTTCCCTAATAGTGATGATCTTCTCTATGTCTGCTGTTTGAGGTCCCTTGGTGGCATTGTGAATGGAACTGGCCGGAAAAATATTCCCAAGGACCTTGAGCTAGTCTTACCACAGAGAATCCCTCTGATCAAGGCAGGAATTGACCTTCCCTCCCTTCCAGCCCCCTAACCCAGAAGAGCCTTAAATAAAATTAAATCTGTAGGCCAGTGGTTCCTTCCAGTACAGCAGTGCCATGTGGGGCAAAATGAGCATCCCCAGCTGCCCTTTTCCAACCCAGCCAGCCCTGGTAGCCAGAAGCTAAGAATATCCATTGGGCTTTTGGCACAAAGTGCTTTGTGATTTCCAGATCTCCCAAGAGTTACTTATGATGCCATCTTCTGGGGCAGGCCTTAAAAAGCCCACTTCTGTTTGTCTCTCACCCCCACTCTCCTGCTGTCCTCCAGTGATTGAATTAACTCCCTGGGCACCTGCACCGCCCTCCCCATTCAGAGCTCTAAGACCTTGGAACCTCTGCAAGGTGATAATTGGTTGTTTTCTCAATCCTCATGTCCTTCTATGCCTCTGCATAAATATGTGGCACCCAACCTCAGCTTTCTGGCCACTTCCATGTATCTCATCAAAAGGTACCAGAGGACTCCCTACAGGTCAGGCTCCTAGACCCATCAAGCCCAAGGGTCCTGAAACAATAGCACCCCCCTTCATTTTGTAGGAACCCACTATGTTAGAGCTCTTAGGGCCCCTAGAAACATCTAAACCAATGTTTTTCAATGGGGATGCTGTTGACATTTTTGAAGGAATAATTTTTCATTGTGTTGCCATATATTGGAATACGTTTAACATCCTTCGAACTTGCCCCCTAAATATCAAATAGGATCCCAATCACTGTGACAGCCCAAACTGCCCCCACACATTTATAGCACCCACTAGGGAGGCAGTAACTCTCCAGTTAAAGCCACTAATTGCTACTGGCCTCCTTAAGGTACTAATGAGGAGACTGAGGCCCAAAAAGGGAGACAGGGACTCTGGGCCAACCCATTTGCTGATCTGTGTGACACCAAACCCTGTCATCAACCCTGCTTTCTTCTTTCCTCCTCCCCTCTTTGTGGCGAACAAATGTGAGGGTAATGGGCTTGAACCCTAGCTGTGTGACCTTGGGTAAATTACTGAACTTCCCTGAACCTCGATCTCCTCATCCATAGAATGGTGAATAGTATCATAATGGCACCTTTCTACATGCCATTTATTGAGCACTTACTATATGCCAGACACTGTGCTCAATGTTTTCCAATTTTTATCTCCCCTTTTATCCACTCTCTTTTATTTCCACCTACTTCTGCTCTCTTTCTGAACTCCATTCCTGCTCCTTTGTTTTCTACCTTCCACTGTCTTCTTTCTTTCCTTCCTTTAACTCTCTCCCTATTCTTTTTGCCCTTTCCCCCCGCTTTTTGTTCCCTTTCTTTCTGAACTCCTTCCTGTCTTGCTCTCTTTTCTCCTCTCCTTTCCCCACCTTCTCTATCCCTGGGTCCTGTGGCAGTGTTAACAGCAGTCCTCCACGGCAGGACCATGATTTCAATGGTAAAAAGACTGCAATGTTGTCATCAACAGAGGCTTGGAAGTACAATGGAGACCTGAGCAGGGCCAGGCCCCAGGGTCAGCAGATCTTATTAAACAATTCTCCAGGGTGAAAGAGCTTGGAGCAATACTGTTCTCCTCAATTGACTTGTGATACTATCTGAACACTTTTTCTTTCTAGCTGGGCTCCAGCCTGAATTGAATACTTCTATACTATCTGCCCCCTTCCCTCTTTCTCCAGGCCAGCCAAGATTTCTCTGAGATAGAGTGCTGAGCTTTCACCCAGCCAGTACCAGGCCTGCTCACCTTGTGGAGGAGGCTGGTGATTTGGGGACCAAAATGTCAAACCACAGCCTTCAGGCCCTATCTGGGAGGACTTCTTCCTCACCACTTAAGTGGGTGTCAAATTTCCTTTTCTTTCTCCACAAGATATAAAATCAATTTCTCTCTCTCTCTTTCTCTCTCATACACACACACACACACACACACACACACAGAGTTTCTGAAGTGCTGAAAACTAGGAAGGCCTACTAGCAGGAGTTTGCTGTCTTTCTCAGAGGCTTGCCATGGTCACTCATGGAACAGAGAGGTTGCTCCCCCCGAGAAGCTGTCAAAGGCTTGGCCCCCTCCCTATATCATTTATAGGTGATAACGTGGTGATCTGTTCACAAGTCACTATAATAAAAGCAGCTCACACGTGTTTACAACTCCCAAACTATGGTAAGGAATGGCCAGTGTATGAGGGAATAGGCTGCCCTTCAGCAGGAGACGTTTAGATTGGACATTCAGAAATACTTCCTGGCTGATTTGATGAGCATTAGAACTTACTTTGAAAGGACAATGGGGAATCTCTTTCCCTGGGAGTTTTTAAAGAAATGATTAAATTTCTAGTATGGGAAATGGCATTTAAGCCAAGAGGCAGGGGAATTGAGAGGATGAACTACTGTGGTCACTTAGGAATCCCGATGTCTTTATGTTAAGAGTTGATTTCTGAGGCCTGTCTCCTAGAAATCCTCCAAGTTGGGATGCCTGAGAGGTAGGTTCTGGCTCTGGCTTTAGCTGGGATGTTAGAACTGTAGTCAGGGAGAACGTATGCCTCGCCTATTGTGTTCATTTGGTTAGGTTTTCCTGTCCCTGTCTCAGTAAAGAAGAGGGGCATGGGGACCTGGAAATTCCACGTGCTAACTCATATCCTGGCCGGGGAAGATGAGTAGTTATCAGAATGTCAGGATTTTGGGAAAAAATTAAACAACATTGTTCCCTGTCACTGAAACACAAGCAAGCAAAACAGCAGGCACTTCTTGGAGAACCTGGGGAGGGCAGGGCAACCAGAGACATTCTCCCTTGGCTTATTATAAGCCTTCCCTCACTCCTCTCCTTCCTCTGTGTGTCTTCTTCCCAGGTACCGCATGCACAAGTCCCGGATGTACAGCCAGTGTGTCCGAATGAGGCACCTCTCTCAAGAATTTGGATGGCTCCAAATCACCCCCCAAGAATTTCTGTGCATGAAGGCACTGCTGCTGTTCAGCATTAGTAAGTGCCTGGAGGGGCAGGGAATGCCCCTGGGGGCATAGGGGCTCAGAGCAGAGCTGCTTTTATCATTAAAGGGTTATCAGAAAGAAGTCAACTCCTAGACATCTTCCTTCTTCTTTCACCCTCCCTCCTCTACACTCCCTTAGCATCCTTGTTTCTAACAAGGATGTATTTCATGTCTGGAGACCAGTTTCTTTGCTAGAATTCAATCTCTGTTAGATCCCCACCTACCCCCAGTTTCTCTTTGAGACAAGGCCTTTTTGGCTGATTATACCAGGTCTCTGAATTTTCCCATAGCTTCTATCATAGAACAGGCAAGGACCACCTTATATTTCTTGCAGGGCAGAAGATATTGCCTCCTGGAAGGAATGGCCTTCTCTGCCAACAGAAGGAGGTCTATGTAAACAACTCAGACGGGGTTTATTTGGCAGCCAAGGAACATTTCTTTAATGTCTCTTCTAAGCAGAGTGCTGTCTTCTCTGTGAGGGAAAAAGAAGGCAAAATTTTATATTCAAAATCATGTGTTTTAATTGTCTAAATCAGAGCCGGACCATGGACAAGGTAAAACCATAGGTCCTAATAAATGCATTAGATGAGAAAGACTAGAAAAAGGAACGGCTCAGTAAATTTTATTTGCTTGATGCCCTTCAGATTGGGTCCAGCTAGCTTTTTCCCTAAGACCTCTGGGCAGACTGAAGGCCCAGGGCATACAGACCTCAATGGACAGGAAGCCAAGTAGATGGTTCCCTCCCTGTGGGGGTGGGGATCAAATTTGTGGTAAGAAAACTTGGTGCTTTGTCTAATGCTCCTTCGTGGGCATGCTTCCCTTCCTATTCTGTCTTCATCCCACGTCAGTTCCAGTGGATGGGCTGAAAAATCAAAAATTCTTTGATGAACTTCGAATGAACTACATCAAGGAACTTGATCGTATCATTGCATGCAAGAGAAAAAATCCCACATCCTGCTCAAGGCGCTTCTACCAGCTCACCAAGCTCCTGGACTCTGTGCAGCCTGTAAGCAAACGATGGAGGATGCTTTGGCAGGGAGAGCAGCCTGATAGAGCCAAGTGATAATATGCTTTTCTAGGGTCTGGCACCACCTGTTGGGAGGTGCTTCCATTCCCTTCTGGCTTTGAGTGTGGCCCAGGAAGAAAATGCAATGGAAAAGAAAGGAACACAGGTCACAATGTCCCAGCTGGTTGTTGTGAAAGAAGTGGAGGAGTTGAGAACAGAGCAGTTGGGATTCAAGGAAGGGGCTTAGAACAAATAAGTTCTCTAGGCAGACAAAACAGACCTAGATGTTTTCCCCTTCTTCTTTGAGTCATGTGCGTGTGAGTTAATGTGTGTGTGTGTGTGTGTGTGTGTGTGTGTGTGAGAGAGAGAGAGAGAGAGAGTGTGCTGGGAAAGAGGAACACCCAGTCCTGAGTCAGAGAGCTTGTAATGGTGTAAAAGATCTCTTGGGGGACCTCAGTGACTCCCTGGAGACCATTTAATGCACATGTGCGTGCGCGCGCGCGCGCGCACACACACACACACACACACACAGGGAGGACCAAGGACAGGGAAGAAGGAGGGAATCAAAGGTAAGGGGGGGAGAACCCGACAGAAGCCAACTCCTTGTCAACCCCGTTTTCTGTTTCTCCTGTTATCCCCTTACAGATTGCACGAGAGCTGCATCAGTTCACTTTTGACCTGCTAATCAAGTCCCACATGGTGAGCGTGGACTTTCCAGAAATGATGGCAGAGATCATCTCTGTGCAAGTGCCCAAGATCCTTTCTGGAAAAGTCAAACCCATCTATTTCCACACACAGTGAAGCTTTGGAAGCGCCTATTTCCTCACCCCACCCTACTCCCCTTTTCAGATATCTTCTGCCTGTTATAACTCTGTACTACTTCTCTGCAGTGCCTTGGGGAATTTCCTCTGTTGATGTATAGTCTGTCATGAAGATGTTCCTGAGTTCTGTTTGCCGGGCTTTTTTCTCTTTTCCTCCTTTCTTTTGTTCCCCCTCCCTGTCCTACCCTCCCATGGCACTTTCAGACTCTGCTGCCTGCCATGACTATTATCTGTGTTTTGAATGGTGGTGTATTTCTTTAAATCTGTGATGATCTTCATGTGGCCCAGTGTCAAGTTGTGCTTGTTTATAACTGCGCTGTGTGCCAGCCACACAAATGTTTACTTACCTAATGCCACAGGAAGTTTAGGGAGCTAAGAGTATCTGGGAAAACGAAAACAAAAACAAAAACCTTGCTAGCGTTTTTCCTCTTAAAAAGTGTAAAAACAAACCAAAATCCCCAAAGAGGCCAACAGTGACTAGAATAAGGTGAAAATTGCAAGCCCATGGGGAGTCACTGCTTTTTTTCCAAACCCTTCCTCCCTAGGAGACTTTATTTTCTGCCATTGGCTATTGCCATTAGAGAGCAAGGTGACCCCAGAGCTGAGTTGGGGCAGGGGGCAAATTTAAGAGAATGAAGAGGAGAGGACAGATGGATCACCAGTACCTGCCCACAGCCTTGGCCTCTGAAGTCTAGACTGCTCAACTACAGTGCAGTTCATTGTACTGAAAATGTGCTTCTTGTTTGAAAACTTGTCTGCATGTGAACGCCTCCCCCCTAATCCCTTTTCTCTTTCACCCTCTGCCTCCACTCTCAAATTGACGTTCTGTAGCTTTTCTAAGAGCTTTGAACCGAATGTTCTCTTTAGCCAAAACTTGGCCACTTCCAGTGAAGAGTAAGATCAGTGAAAAGGAGAGGAGAGATCTGACCCTTTGAAAGGGCCCATCTAGATCCAGCCCTGCTTTCCCATTTGTGGGCCAAGGAGGAGCTTGGGGCTGGAGTTAGAGGAAAAGGAAGTGGTGGCTTGGCTGTTATCCTGCTTAGGACACTGAAGATTTGATCCTTCTTTGCCCCCACCTTTAAAAGACCTCGATATTTTTTGCCTGACTCCATGCAGCTGCAAGCTCCTCCACCCTCCCTTTAGTGTTCTGTGGGGCTGAACTTCACCAGACTGCATTACAGCCACAGTGGTGAAGCTTGTTCACTCCTTTCAGCATGTTCACAGACTCTCTGCTAAGAGCCCCCACCACCAAAACGGCTAGCAAGCCAGCAGTCTTGACATCTGTCTCTAGATGCCAGTAGGCTCAAAGACTTCTTACCAAAAGTCTCTCATCAACTATCAGATTTCTGGAGCCCTTGGACAAACTGGAAAGAAGGCATCAATGGGATTGGACAACCTGGGCGTCTTGCCCTTGTCCCCCAGAGATGATAACGTCCCACCAAGTGGAAAAATGCCAACTTCCTCCTTCATAGCAGCTAAAGGGGCTACCCAGACCAGAGTTGAAGAGAAAACTCAATTACCAGGGCGGGAAGAATGAAGGCACTAGAACTAGAAACTCTATAAATGCTCTCCTTGCCACCCAGCATATCCACCTACAAAAGTCATGGAAAGAAGAGAGAAGAAACCAAGAGGAGACTCTGACTACTAAATTAAAGTCTTCAGAGGCAAAATCTAAAGCCAGATGGGCACCATCTGGTGAGTTTACTCATCCTCCTCCTCTGTTGCTGATTCTGGGATCTGACATTGGCCATACTCACTCAGACTTCCCATCTTTCTTGCTGCCTCTGTGTCAGAGGGAGGCTGAAACATGGAGACTACAGAACCATGGAAAGGTTTGGTTGTTGTGACTCCAATGGGCTGCCACCCATGAACTCAGGGTGTGTTCCTGGGACACTGGTTTCATATAGTCCTTTGGCACACCTCTGTTCTGTTGACTTTGTCCCTTAATCCCCAGTGCAGGGGGAGTGTCCACCTACTTTCTCATCTTGGCCACTGCCTCCTCACTTAGCTCTTAAATTCATCTGCTAAACTCAAGAAATTAGGGGCCAGTCATCAAGCTGCCCATTTCAGTTGGTTCACTCTACTTGTTGAGGAGATAGTTTCAGAGTGACATGATATGATCTACATGGGTTTCCTCCCCTGATTTCTGTGTTGATATTAATAGCCAAATGAACTTGCAAAACAGCTTCTTTAAATAACAAGGGAGAGGGGAACCTAAGATGGGTGATATACCAATCCAAGACTGCTGGATAAAACTAAAGCTGACAGGTTTTCTTTCTAGGGTAGGATAGATAAATTCTGGTTTTCTTTGTTATGACACCACTTGGCTTATGTAAGCTCACAGTATCGCTTTTAGCTGTTTTAAACAGGAAAAAAATCCACCAGTCTTTTCAGTTAAACTAGGTTACATCTTAATAGTTTCTTTACATGTCTTTTGAAATGATTTTCATCTTTTGTGGTACATGGGTTCGATTAAGTCATTCTAATACCTCTCCTTGTACTAGAGGCTATCTTTACCATTTCTCTATCAAATTTTTCATCTTTATGGATTTCCCAATCGTGACTCTTGTCTTTATGAATATAAATGTTTTTAATTTGTGAAAGCCAAAAACCAGTGAAATGGCAGTGTAATTAAAAGCAGCAACAACTGGATTACTCCAGATTTCCGAACGGCAAGACAAGGAAAAATGGCCTAAACAAGGTTTTCAGCCTACTGTTTTTACACTGGGGTTTCAGTGAGCAAAGGAGATTTTAGCTTGGTTTTGTTCTCCCACAGATGAAAAGGAGATTTTTTTTTTCTTTTGGCCATTGATGTTCCAGCTAATGTAATTGACAGAAGTCTCGTTTTGCATGCACTCTGCTCTACAAACAGAGTAGATGTGGTTGGTACACTGTGCTCACCTATGAAGGATCGGCGATCCAGACCCACTCACCTGGTGAGCTGGAAGACGAGGAGCACTCACCAGACAAGTCACGGTTTGCAGTGCTTGATGGGAATGGACAATTAATAAGAGAAAAAGAAAGAGCACCAGGGAGGAGGGCCCGTCTGTGCTGGGCAGCAGACAGCTGCCGGGGTCACAAACTCTGTGGTCAAAGAAAAGAGTCGTGTGGCGGTTCCAGCTCTTGTTCATTGGGCAGCTTGCCCAGGCTTGGCCCCTGAGCTGAAATGGGGTTGGGTTCTTTGTTCCACAGCTTTTCTATGCCACAGACAGTGTCATTGTTCTTGGAGAATTCATTTTTTTAATAAGAAAAGGATTTTTTGAAGGATTCTGTCATATATCTTTGAAAAAGAAAATCAGAACATATATATTTTTATATATGTTCACTGGTACTAAAAAAGAAAAAAAAAAGCTTCACTCTGTCCTTTGGGTAGTTGCTGAGGTGATTGTCCAGGTTCAGAAATAATGTACTGATGCTAGAGTCCTTCTCTGTCCATACTTTACTACTAAATGCATATATGCATATATATAGCAAGAAGTATTCTATTTGTACTTTAAGAGAAAATAATGTCCACCATCCACATGATACTCACACTACACAAATGACCTAACTTTGAGCTTCAAGTAGCTTCTCTTCTAAGTGTTTGTTTCATTAGGCACAGCACAGACATGGCTTTGACCCCTTTTCTCCCTTGATATTCGGCAGGGCACAAAAGCCTAAGCCATTCTCTCTGCCCCTTCCCAGCCCTGTGCCAGGGTTGCACTTCATGAGACTTGCTCCAGACAGCCCAGTAACTATCCCTGCATGGTCCTTGCATGACCTTGGGAAAACAAGAGGCTGACTACTAATTATCATGTGCCAGTAGCCCAGGTGAGAGGGCACTGGGCCAAGGGAGTGGCCTTCATCCTTGACCCCCTGTAGGGGGTCATGGGAACCAGGAATGTTAAAGCACAGGATCAAATCCCAAACTTAAAAGTCAAAATAAGCCATTTAGCATGTGCAATTTCTTGTAAAAGGAAGTTTCTACGCCTGCTGCCTTTTATAGGCAGGTCTGTTCTCACCACTAATCTCTTTGAAAATCTTTGAAAGCAGTTTAAAAAAAAGACAAAGAGATGAAAGCATCACATTATGTAACCAAAGATTACACTGTATCTGCTAAGATACCAAATTTTTTAAGGGCAGGGAGGGAACAAGCATTAGTGCCTCTCTGGTAAGCTATCCAAAGACAGACAGAAGGACTTTGCTGGTGACTGACTTATAAGAGTTTTGTGGGGTTTTTCCCCCACAATATACATGTTTAGAAGAATGGAAAATAATTTTGAAAAAAAAATGTGATTATAGGTCCTTCACTAAGTGATTTTATAAGCAGAACTAGCTTTCCTTTTCTCTAGCAGTTGCTGAACAAATTCCTAAAGCTCCATTATTGCATGGTTAGAAATGGAGCTGTTTTGGCCACTGTTTGCTAGTGCCCATGTTAGCTTGTCTGAAAATGTGAAGCCCTTGTTGAGAAGGGGAGCATTTAAAGGACTAGATTTTGCACTAGAGAGACAGCAGGCAGAAATTCTCATTTCTGCCCACTTTGGATGGCACAAAAAGTTCTCTGCGATTTAAGGCAGAAGGTTGAAATATATTGTAAATGAGTATTTGTATCCATGTTTCAAAATTGAATTTTATATATATAGATAGATATAATGTGTTCTGATAGCTTTACCTTTCTCTGCACCTTTATATTTGGTTCCAGGTCATAATTGATACCATGTACTTGTGAGAGAGGCTGTAGTTACATTTTGGAAGCTCTCTCAGAAAGGAAAAGACACCTGGGTTGATCATATAACTAAGAGATCTCTGCCTCTATTGGGGCCTGACTCACAGGCCTTGTAAAGGAGCAGAGTGGGGAAAAGGATAGGGTACATGACGTATTGCACTTTACTAGCCCAAGACAGATGAATGTGTAAAGGGTGGTGAAGACTCATTGGAACTGACTGGGATTTACCATAGGGAAGGCCCAGACTGGGGGACAAAGGCCCACCCAAATAATTAGCCAGTGGCCCCCTAATGGGACCTGGGCAGTGAGAAGAAGGAAGGGCATTCTTTGCTCTTCACCATCCTTGTGAGAAAAGGGCAGTTTCCTGCACTTGGGAACCTGGAGCAAGTGCTCCATCTTTCACGTAATTCACTCACTTGGGATTGAGGTGCTCTTGCTACTGGGTGTCTGTGTGCTCTAATTCTGGTTTTGGATATGTTATGTGAAGCTTTTAACAATGAAGATGTGCTTTCATCTGTTAAAAAATTGTCATTTTACTAGAAGTTGTATTTCTGTAGGTACAAGTCCATCTCTGCCCATGGGTAGGGATGTTTTTCTTCAATTAAGAGATTGACACTGGGGTCTGTTGCCCAGAGCCTCCCAACCCTCAACCATTTCTAGGTGAAGGCAGAAAAATCCACATTAGTCACTACTCTCCAGACACTTCAGCTGAGGTAACAAACCATTTGGAACGTTCCCACCCCCAAAAATGAGTGGTATTTGAATTTAGCAAGTAGAGTCTTAAGGGGAAAAACAGCCTTTGAGTCAGCTTTGATTTATCCCCATTTGATTTGGCCAGAAAGCAGGTAATATTCATTGATTGGTTTCCAACCCCAATTCGGTATAGCAGCGATGCTGGTTCCTTTCTTTATTCCACTTGTCTCTTAGCCTTTTATGGAATTAAGTGAGAAGCTATGGACTGAGTAGCCCTTGTGGCATAAAATGTTTCCCACATGCACTACTTAATAAGGTTGTCATATAGCTACAGATTCCATTGGCCACCAAAGACTGGAACACACACATACCCTAAAGGGAAGAAAATTCTGAAATGTTGCCCTTTCTCTGGTGGTGCCCTCCCTGGCTGATGCTTCACATTTTGGGACTCTGTTCCCTGCACAGCAGACAGGCCAGGCCTGCAGTCTCTCCCAGCCTTAGCCCTTGGTGCTAACTGTCCTGTAGTGAAGTGTCTGCGAGATTGTCCTATCCCATCAGCCACTCAAGTGCTGAGAGTAGCTACCATTGGGATGACTCAAGCTAAAAAACAGTCCCCTCACCTCTCAGTGACACCTTTCTGCTTTCCCCTAGACTAGAACAGTGATTAGGGAGTGCCTCAGACATTACATTCTTGTGCTGTCCTTGAGATTAATTTGGCAGCAGGCGGGAGCAGACTATGTAACCAGATGTAAGAATTAATTTTCGATGTTGAGGGAAAAAACAAAGAAAAAAAAAGAGAGCATCGTATAAAGATTTTTTTTAAAGAATCATTAATTTTGCTTGAAACTTCTTTCGATGGGGCTTCAATTCTCACAGCGGCACTTGGCCTCCACTGGGCAGCAGGACCAGCCCCAAGCGCTAGTGTTCTGTTTTCTTTTTGTAATCTTGGAATCTTTTGTTGCTCTAAATACAATTAAAAATGGCAGAAACTTGTTTGTTGGAATACATGTGTGACTCTGGGTTTGTCTCTGTCTCTGCTTTCAGAAATGTCATCCATTGTGTAAAATATTGGCTTGCTGGTCTGCCAGCTAAAACTTGGCCACAGCCCCCTGTTGTGGCTGCAGGCTCGAGTTATTGTTAACAAAGAGACCCAAGAAAAGCTGCTAATGTCTTCTTATCACCGTGGTTGATTTGTTAAAACATAAAACAATCTAAAATTTCAGATGAATGTCATCAGAGTTCTTTTAATTAGCTTTTTTTTATTGGCTGTCGTTATTGAAGTCAAGAGTTGGTATCATGCCCAGTGGCCGTTTATGCTACTTTGATTTTGATGTATTTTTAAAAATCTTTGCACAGGGGTTATAAATTTGCCCTGTGTTGGCCTTAGCATAGGTTGACCTGGGACCACCAAAATATCAAAGGGTCTGGGCTAGAAAGCACAGATGGACACTGGCGGCCTATTACAGCCTCTCATCAAAAACCCTGAGCTTGTCAACCAGGAGAAAGCCACACAAAACCCAGCTGTTCACTCTCATTCTCATCCTTGTGGAAGCATAAAATGGATTGAGGCTTCACTGCACAGTTCTTGCCAAGCCTCACAAAAGTAATGGGCACGTTCATATTCACATTCTCACTGTTTCTCAGGGGCCATATCGTCCTTGACCATCTAGGTAAAATCCAAGCCAGGCTTCCTTGGGGTTTTCAAAAGTTCAAGCAAGGCTCCCTTCTGTCTCCTTTGAGTGTGAATACTTATGATATCCCAAATTGAATTTCTGGCATCTTGAGATACAGGCCATCAGTGAGGTGTGACAAATGTATTAAGGAATGATATGAAAGCTCTCTATGCCTCAATGTCCTCACCTGTAATAGGGGTTGTCATAATGCCTCTTTACTGGGCTAGGTTGGAGATTCAGTAAGAATGTATGTGACCCAGCTGGTGGGCTTATTACTCTGCCTTTGCTCCCTGTTAAA